AAGAATCTCAATGATAAAATCTCGAGTTTCAATCTACAATTGTCGATGAATGCAATCATTGAATTCTTTTCGGAAAGATTATTCTCATCAGTAGATTGTATTTTAATCAATCATTTGTGCAATTCATAAGTGAAAAGTTTTTGAGCATTTCAAATTTCATAAAAGATTCTACAAGGTCGATGGGAGCAAATGAAAGTATTTAGTGAAAATGCGAACAGTCAAAGGAATCCACTCATAACGATAAAGCTCTTCCATAGTCAATCTTGAGATTTTTGACTATTTTTGTGAGAAAAATTATTCGAGTGGTTAATTCGAGAAAAGAAAACTTTTCCTTCCATGAAATGCGTTCAACTCTTTTCTGTAAACATAGAAATCGAAGAAAATAAAACAACGATTCGATCGTTTTGTCCATGAAGACTTACTAATAAAGCTCAATTTTCTCGAATAGATTTTTCTCTCAGCTATTTTCCATATTCTCAAAAGCATAACAAATACCAAAATGTTTTCAATGTCGAGTCTTTCATCAAACTCATTCGAGACAAATAACTACAAAAACTGTCTCAAATCTAAAGAGATCGATAGAATTGCTCAATGTTTTTATGTGAATCTCATTCGACAATGAATAATTGTACAGGTTCGACCTGAAGAGAGACAATCGATAAATATTTAATAATGAAATAACTTCGATGGCATACAGTTATCGCAGAAGAAAAAAAAGTTAGAACTCGCGCTGATGCATACAGAGAAATAAACTATTTCTCAAAAATATCGTTTTCATAAGTCATTGAGTAAGGTAATATGATTATTCTAAATTAACGAATCGAAAATTCATTTGGATTTGTTTGTTTGCAAAATGATATGAAAGCATTCGAGATAAATTCTAATTGAAACTCGTCGAACAGTGTAAATCTTCAATTGATCGAAAAATCTCGAGAGAGCGTGAACATACTTCACTATCATGAAAACAAAGTATTACTCAATTTTTTGATAGAATAAAATCTTTCGACATCATCCAGTCGAGCTCAACTATTGATTATCGAGAATTTTCTGTCTATTCAATTAGAAAGATCTCTTACTTTACTCACTTTTAATGCTTTAGCTAGGTGTTGTGCTCCAGTGTCTCCGATCTGATTTTGATAAAGCCATAGCTGAGTGAGAACCTACACGAAAAAGTAGGAATGAAATTGCGACTAACAATTTTAATTTGGTCTCGTTCTCAATCAAATAGCTGGTCTGTTCAATTCGTTGAAAACTACTGTTTTCGTCTCACCACAAGAGTATTCACTTATAACAGTTGCACAAATGAGAGTTTCTATATTATTACAATGTTAATTTTCCTCTCTCCAAACTAATTATGTTCTTAGTGGTTATCCTAATATCGAATAAATTGCATTCAGAAAGTGAAGAGGAAAACTCAAGTAAAACATGCCAGAACATGATCGATTTCTTATATTCAACTATTATACATCATCAGAGCAAAAATGAGGAAATATTTAGACGGTTTTCATTTTGTTAGAACTAATTAAGTTGATACAATGTTATTTTAACATTTGTTCGATAAAATGAATTAAAATAACATTTACATAAATTAGATTTTATCTTTGTAATAAAAGCAACAATAAAAAGACGTTATTTTAAGTGAAAAACATGGCGTACGACTCACCTAAGCAGAACAAAAATGATAAAACTGCTTTTTAAATGTCATTGAAAATTCTTTGATAATTTGAAATTTAAAAAATGAGATTTGGTATGAAAATAGATGCAAAATAGATAGTAAGGAAATAGGAATTTATATGGTTGAAATTCGCTTTGAATAAATGGAAATTGCATATGTATGTGAAAATTTTAAGATTGACAAAATGAAGTTTTGATAAATTCTACTCAACGACTATTTTACTTTTTGTTATCGACAATTCTATGTGCAAATGCATCACGCTATGAATATTTGCTAACTTACTTTATTCACTTTCAATGCTTCTGCTAGTTGTTGTGCTCCATTATCTCCAATTTGATTATAGTGTAGATCAATGTATGTCAATGTCTATAGTGAAAAGAGACTAGACTAGTCTGAATTCTAACTGATGAATTATTCTAATTCGAAGAAAATCCATACTATATACACGACTCTTTAGTCGTGTGATCACTAGAGACCTGCGGAGTCATACTTTTTTGACTCCGATTCCAACTCCGACTCCGATTTTTTTCAAAATTTCAACTCCGACTCTGAAAAATATCTTTTCAAAATTCCGATTCCGATTCCGACTCCGAAAACCTCCGAAAACTTCCGAGAAACTCCGAAAACTGTTGTTTTTATACTGACGACAACTTTTATGCTCGGGATGTCATATAAATTATGATTAGTGCCCAGCGACTTTAACAAGTCGGAAAAATTCGATCAAATTGATGAAACGAAAAAAAAGATTCATTTATTTCCAATTCATTAAAAACGATATTTTGATCGATTTTATTACATGATTTTGATTAAAAATCAAATCTACTGCATTTGTTTAATTAAAGTGTCGCGTTTAATCATAATATTTGAAAATCATCAATTTTGATGTCTGTATCATCATTCAAAATGCCATTTTTTCATGTTTCTGACATCAAATTCACGAAAATCATCAATTGTTTTATGATTTTTTAAATCATCGGAAGTACTCTAACGAATGATATATAATATGACTATTATGAGCGAATAATTATGTGTTAGATATTAAACAGAAACACAAAGATTGATTGAACTTTTGAGTATATTTGTGCATCTGAAATACGTGAAATAGCTGTCAACATTTTTGTAGAAGAGATTCTGATGTTAATCAACAAAAAATTAGATGATTCTGTTCCGCAAGGCACATGAAAAGGTGCAGAATACAAATGCAGTTTGGAATAGCATCAACCACGTTATCTTGCATGAGAAAAAAATGAAAGAAAGATTTTCAAGGTTGCTCTGATTTGTATCATTATCGACTCCGATTCCGAAATTTTTTTATTAGAATTCCGATTCCGACTCCGACTCCGAAAAATATTGGTTTTTAATTCCGATTCCAACTCCGACTCGGTCGGAGTCGGAGTTGGAATCGGAGTTCGGAGTCAGTTGCAGGACTCTAGGCACAGCCCTGCTTTCTTGATTGCTAAGCTACAAGACACAAAAGATTATATGTTCTCCAAAAACCAAATTATTCTTTCACTTTGGCATCACCATATCACCCATATAAGTCAAATCAACCCACCACATTCATGATTACTTCTTGTATTTTAAATGCAATAAGATTTGAGCAAGTTTGTTGTACGAAAGCATTTATGAAAAAAACTTCGACATAAAACGTTTTCTTTTAAGTAGCTCTCCACTCGATTTACCAATACTAAAGTGTACACTCAATTTGTTGAATAATATTCAACGAACTTCTAAAAAGTAGAATATTGTCCTTTGCTTCAAGCAGCCCTCCTTTAATGAAAATTTTAGGTCGGCAATTTGAGAAACTAACTGGAGATTTTGATTTCTCAATCTGAATAACTTTTGCTCCAAGATTACTTCTTCGAGCAAAACGAAATTTAGTTCCTCGATCAGATTCGTGACTTTTTGGGTTCCCCTATCCGATTGTTCAGCTGTTCGACTAAGTTTCATTCTTAAAAGACACGTTTCTAAAGTGAGAATTTGCATTGGTAAATTAAACCTTCGACCGTTGGCTCTGATACAAACACGCACGCTCATTTTCACATGACCCTCGCTACAGTCGACCGAATAAAAATTTCGTGTTTCATAGATTTAGCTTCTGGCCGATCGAAACTCAAATCGAAACACCAATACAGAATTCTGATTCCCAGCCCCCGATACCCTGTACCAGAGCATCATCAAAACAGTGGCAGGTCTGAAAATAAAAAATCTCGTTTTCATCGGTCCAGCTTCTGAGGAATGAAATCTGGCATCAGAAAACCCATAATAGATTCGGATTCCTCGACCCCGATTACCTATGATCAAACTTTATCGGAAAAACATTTTTTTACGAAAAAAGTCTTGCTTTGTTGTAAAAAAAGTAAAACTCAAAATTTAAAAAATCTGATCACGGATTCGGATTCCTCGACCTCGATAACCTATTGCAAAGTTTTATCAAAAGACTGAAAAGTCTAACAATTAGCTAAGCTCTGGTAAATGTTTTTTTGACCCTGACACAGACACACCCAGCCACCCATAAGTTTATTTTATTTCATATGACCCTCCCTACAGTCGAGAGAAAAACAAAATAATTTTAATATAATCCACTATTATTCAGTAATATAAGACAATCTATTCAATTTTTTTCTTATATTATATATATATATACACAACAACATCATTTTCAATTCACTACTGTGTTCAAACTTTTCGACAATGTCAATCACATATAAGGAAGGGAAGAAAAATATTTCACTCTGTATATGAAGGGCACGACATATGAACTGTCCTTATACATACACCGTCCGATAGAATGAAGAACAACGCTGTATGTGTAACGACCGCTTAGATGTCGTGCCATCAATTTTTCATTGAAAACGATATCGACCCGTCGTATTGAATCGCTGTGTATCTTTCCGAACTGCTGTCTTCTTCTACTTCTCATGGTTCTCGTTCTTTGGAACACAATGGAGGAATTTATCGAACATATAAGCTCGCAAGGTGTTTGAACCAAATAAGCCTTGCCAGGGATATCCGGCGTTCTGTTGGTTCAGTACAGGCGTGCACATAGAATGCCCTATAAACATACATCTACGGATGTATGACTGCAGCGATCGTTCGCGTCTTCGTCATTTCTCTTCGGAGAAATATACATGATGATCATGCATCACTGTAGTTGTCATGTGCTCATACATATGTTTGTCCTTACATTGCCGGCTTCGTGCACTGTACAACCCAACGGAATCCGTAGAGTACTCCCTGGTCGCGCGAGAGATTTTCAACGGGTGCGCTTTGGCTAGCCATTTAAATTCGAAAGGAAGCCATTTTTATTTATTTTTAAAATCAATTACAATTTCTCTTTCACAATTTCAATGTTCTCTTTTACAGTTGCAATATTTGGATGATTTGGAGATAGTGACTTTTTCCATATTTCATGAGCTTTTTCAAAATACGACAGTGCTTTTGCATACTCGCCCATGTTATAATACACCGAAGCGATATTGTTGTAAGAAGTAGCCAACCAGGGATGATTCGGAGGGAGAGCTATTTTGTAGATTTCAAGTGATAGTTCGTAATTTGAAAGCGCTTTTGAGTACTTGCCCATGCTATCATACACTAAACCGATGTTGTTGTAGGAAGTAGCTAACGAGGGATGATTCGAAGAGAGAGCTATTTTGTCTATTTGAAGTGATCGTTCGTAATTTGAAAGTGCTTTTGAGTACTCGCCCATGCGAGAATACACCCTACCAAGTTGTTGATAGTAACCCGTACGATCTTCATCAGAAGATGCCGCTTCGAGAAGTATGGTATAGAGATGTTCGGCTTTTGCGGGGTCACCCAGTCGAATAAGTATTTCACCAAATCGATGCCATCCTGTCGCCCGAGAAAGATCTTCACGTAAGTGTGTTGTGAGCGTGCTGAGTTTGTTGTCATCGTTACCGGTAAATGTGAGATTAACTTGCCATAGGCGATCCGTATGATCATCATGAATAGGTTTAATTTGTTCGATACGAAAAATGGTATGTGTTGAGAAGAGAATTTCTTCCTCGTTGTCGTTGAAGTAACCCTCGTCTGTCACGCTGACAAAGGGAGTATTTGATGCAGCGCACACTGTTGGATCAATTGCCATCACAAACAGTATGCCCATCGAAGTATCATCGTGAATTGCTTGACGTGCATAGTCGAGGGAAATAGTTCGATTACGACTTGTTGACAGGAAATTGTTAAAGGACATGAGTCCTCCTTTTGTTTGTTTCATTTTGTCAAAGTTTTCCATGGATAATCCTTGACCTCGAAAAACTGTGAACGGCGGCTTTTGTTGTTGTTGTTGTTGCTGATGAACATTTTCAAGACATGATTGTTCACATAATAGATGATCATTTTTTTGTAGAAGAAAAAAAAACTAGGCATTTTTCTAGTCATGTCTATGCGCCGCGTCTAGTCTTTTTCTTAAAGAAGGTCCTCCCACATATCTATCAGCGCTCGAAACGGGCCACTTTTTTTATGATCTACCCCAAAGAAAATTTTTTTAACAAACATTTTATCCAGAATTGATCTTCAAGATTAACATGGTAGTTTGTGTGAAAGAAATCTTTTTAGAGCACACCACAGATTAATTGATGAATATAATGAAGCCAGATCATAGAAATGAGCATAAAGATAAATTAGCAAGTAAAATGATTATAAGAAAATAAGTAAACAGATTGTACATATTGAAAAGTTATTGGTATATTGTACTGTCTAATAATAGTTCGATAGAAGTGGCTATGACAAAGCTTATTGATCATTGCTTGATCTGATGAAATTTACAAAATTCCATAGAAGAAAAAATATAGAATTTTGTTCGACTAGGCCGGCACATTTCGAGCCCTAATGACTATTATCTGAACAATTAATAATATGGATTAAGAGGATATGTTCATATTAGGTGACTAGGAGTATCTAATGACATAAATCAATACAATATAGAACGAACAAATTAAAAGAAAGATGGTATATGCAATGCCCGAGTGAAATTCATGCAACATAAAACAGATGATGCTCTCTGAAAAAAGGTGTCATACGGAACCTTTTCTCGGTACCATTTTCAGAACCATTTTAAGTTCAAGCGAAAAAGTCTAGAACCTAAAATGGTTTCAGCCAGAAATGCGGAACCTTAAAGGGTTTTAGACTTTTTGGCTAGAACCTTAAAAAAGGTTCTGAAAATGGTACCCAAATCTAGAACCTTTTAAGGCTCTAGACCTTGGCTAAAATCTTAAATGGTTCCGTATGGCATCTTTTTTTTAGAGAGTGAGTGATACAATATACACAATGTTAAGAGCTACACTCGTGCTCCATTTTCTCTTGTTCTTCTAATTCATTATTCATTTTACTCATAAAAGTATAGATTTTGTGCATCTGATAATTGATTGATAATATCAGGACTACTCTGGAAAAAAAAGGTGCCATACGGAACCATCTGTGCTAAAAAATGGTTCTAGCGAAGATACTGAACCTTTTAAGGTTCTATTCGTTTATTAATAAACCCTCGAGGGTTCTAGCTAATTTCCAGAACCATCTGAGATCCTCAATGGTTCCGGATGTTTAAAGAGGTTCTGTCTTGCACCATTTTTTTCGATGCTGAACCCTTTTTGCCAAAGATGGTTCTAGGGGAGGTCGTTCCAACTAATATGAATATTTTCTTGAGCGCGACTTAATTAATGTAAATCTAGAACTATTTTACTTATGCAATAAGAACAAAAAAAATCAGGCAATAAACGCCACTTAATTCGTTAAGGATAATAATTAACCGACCGCTTAACCATAAATACAGCATCTAAAGTTCTTTTTATTGTTGTATTGCAAAAAACATTTTTGAAAATACCAAACAGTTGCTTGTTGCCGACTTTTATTTTACCTGCGTTATTAGCTTTTATTATACATAACAAGAGTGAATTCTGTGCTTATCTTTGTGATGCCGTTTTGATTTGTTTTCTAAACTTTCCTGTATGCTCAGTGTTTTCACGAAACTGCAATCGATATTGTTATAGACTTATGCGCTTTGTCCGTAATGTGAGTGCCGTCTTTTTCAACGTTTTATTACACATAGTACCATAAAAAAGGGAAAATAGAAAAAGATCATACAACAAATCTAGAGATGCGCGGGAACAAATGTTTTCGGTCCCGGTCGTAGTCCCGGTTCAGGTCCTGGCCCTATTAAAGTTGCTGTAGTCCTGGTCCCCGTCCCAGTAAAATTTTATTTTCGTTCCCGTAAAGTTTTACTTTTTGGTCGCGCGCATTTGTAATCGTGTTTTTTATGATTGCGTAGGACAAAATATAATTTTCCTGTCCCAGTAAAAGATTTGCATGCTGTTTTATTAACTTCGTTTTAAAGCCAATGCTTCACTGTGAAACTTGTACAGAAATATTTGCTCTTTCAGCCTATATATTTCGAAATACGGAGAACTGTCATTATAGATTAATTTAGTAAATTCAATGTTCAGGACTAGACTGCCGGGACCGAGCGAGACCAATTTGGTCCCCATCATTGTATTTGTTATATCAATCAATAATGATGTTCCTCTGAATTTTGAAATATAGTCCCAAAGAGCAATCATTTCTGTACTAGATATACAGTAAAACATTGGTTTTAAAACGAAGCTAATGAAAAAGCATGCAAATATTTTTGCCGGGATCAGCAAATTAATTTTCATCTGCTGCACATCCCTATTATTGAGTAACCTTTTATGTGTCTTTGTTCTTGCATTGCAAGATATTACTATGAAAATAATAAATTGATTTATACAGCACGAAAGACATCATCTCGAAACTATCCCAGTTAACGACACTACAACGTAAAATTCAGGGAACAGCATGGCAAAGTTTTCATTGATCTCAGTAAAGCCTTTTTTGAACCCGGTAAAATTTTTTTTTCGTCCCGGCAAATTTTGTTTTTGGTCCCGGTAGTGGTCCCGGGACTCGTCCCGCACATCTCTAATATAATCACATTCATTATTTCAACCAGGAGTGGTGAGATATGGGTATTCTCATTACAATATACAACACAAAAGAATCACTATCCACATACCTATCCCAGCAACATGCACTTCCAACTTGATCAACTGTTGGGTAAGATTTTTCCTTCATAAGAAATTCTCTATTAAAATGGTAGCTTTGTTTCAAATAATAACTGAATTTTAAGTGTTCATTTCAATAGAAACAAACAGTTCTTTCTTTTTCTACTTAGGATCATCTCAATCAACAGCAGAACAGTAAGTTTGCATTTCAATATAACCAAAAATGTATTTCTCTTCTATTTAGGTTCATCTCAATCAAGAACAAAATGGTAAGTTTCGATTTGAATATAACACAAAATCTTTTTTTTTTCTATTTAGTTCATCTGAATCAATCTCAGAATGGTAAGCTTGGATTTGAATATAACAAAAAATGTTTTCTTTTTCTACTTAGGCTCATCTCCATCAAGAAGAGAATGGTAAGTTTCGATTTGAATATAAGAAAAAATGTTTTCTTTTTCTATTTAGGTTCATCTCAATCAGTAACAAAATGGTAACTTTGGATTTGAATATAACACAAAATGTATTCTTTTATCTATTTAGTTCATCTCAATCGATCTCAGAATGGTAAGTTTCGATTTGAATATAAGAAAAAATGTTTTATTTTTCTACTTAGGCTCATCTCCATCAAGAAGAGAATGGTAAGTTTGGACTTCAATGCTAAATCAATTATTTTTTCGTTTTCTATTTAGGTTTATTGCAATTTTTCTGCGAACGATAACCATTGTGTAAAACACGAAATTGAAATCTTTTATTCTTCGGTTGAGGATGGTCTCAACGTCAAAGAAAGCAATGTGCTTTCCCTGCGAACCAAGAAAGTATGCTGGCTGTTATTCTACTCAGAGCAACTTTAGGTAAATATAACACATATAGAGTTTTGTGGTTAAGGATAGAATAAGGATTAAGCGTAGAAATAAGGGTTAATGATAGAATTAGAGGTTAAGACAAGGGGGAAACTACTGATTTATGATTTTTGTGAGTTATGGTGATTTAAGGTGATTTAAGGTGATTTAGAAATGATTTTAAATCATCTTAAATCAGTTTTTCAAGTGATTTAGCATGATTTAGAGTGATTTAATTTTGATTTAGCGGGTGATTTAAATCAGTTGTTTCCCCCTTGGGTTAAGGTTAGAGATAAGGGTTAATGATAGAAATAAGGGTTAAGGATAGAAATTAGGTTAAGGATAGAAATTAGGTTAAGGATAGAATTAAGGGTTAAGATAGAAATTAGGTTAAGGTTAGAATTAAGGGTTAAGGATAAAAATTAGGTTAAGGTTAGAATTAAGGGTTAAGGATGGAAATTAGGTTAAGGCTAGGGATTAGGGTTAAGGCTAGAAATAAGGGATAAGGTTAGGAATTAGGGTTAAGGCTAAAAAAAGGGATAAGGTTAGGAATTAGGGTTAGGGATAGAAGTAAAGGTTAAGGATAGGAATAGTCGTTAGGGATAGTAGTAAGATTAAGGATAGGCATAAAGGATTAAATATGAAATTAACGGTTGGATGTAGCGTTAGGCTTGGGTACTAGACTAATTGAGTGTGGGTGGGCACATTTTACTACTCTAGAACCATTTTTGGAAGAAAAAGAAAAAGGTTCTAGCTAGAACCAGATTTTGCTTGAACCTTAAATGGTTCTGAAAATGGTACCCAAATCTAGAACCTTAAAAGGTTCAGTATGACACCTTTTTTTTTAGAGAGTAGTTCAGCAGAATATTTGACTACAATGAGCTTCCTATTAGATTTTGATGAGCTTGAAGCGCACACACTCGTTCGCGTGATGCTGTAGTTTGTTGATTTTATTTTCGACCGTCTGTACTTTCACTTGTTATACAATTTCGATCAGTCGGCACTGGATCCCTTTCTACCGTCATAGTCACTGTTAACAGGTGAACTCTATATATTATAATACAAGGCAGAAACCATAATTTAAAACTTATCCCGAAAAATGTTCGTATATCGTCTTGTGCACACGTATCATATAATAAATATATATTAAATAAACTTCCATGCCCAGATGAAAATCGAATTTTTACTCCCACTTTTAATTGCTTGGGTAATAGTGAGGAATCCTTCTTGGAGTCTTTAGCCCCCGGCTGAACTACGAAAATGACTATTATAAGCGCCAAAATATAAGGCAGGTGAATGTTTTATGAATAACTCGAGAACCATAAAAGACATTGACCTGGGGTTTTCGGCATTCAATAACAGATAGTCTAGGCTACATTTTCACCAATGTCGTGAGTTTTTGAACACCCAGCTGTCATAGGTTTTCTGAAAAACTTTGGTTTTTCAACAAGATTTTCAGATAAGAATCGGTGAATTTTTTTGATGGATGTAAGGTTCGTTGTTGTTGTTGAGTTCAGTGTTTTATTGAAAAACAGAAAACACGGGAACGAACAATGCCAACAGAAATAAACTATATCACAAGATGAGGAAAACAAAGTACCCAATAGAACAATATATACATATACATTTTATATGTATATTTCTAGGTCAAAATGTGTTTGTTGGACCTTGTGTGAGAAGAGAAATAAAGGTTGGATCCGATAGACACACAAGATGAAAGAACATATATATATATATCACGAACAATGGATTAGTAGTCATAAGAGTGCTCTACAATTCTATATCAGATGATATTAGATTCTCTGCAGCCTCTTCCACCTACAGGTGATTTTTTCGAAGCACCTGGATTTCGGCTTCTACGAAGCTAGTGATTACCAAAAATCATGAACTATATGTTTTCGACTATTCCAAATCATGTGGCAATATCTGTTTCTCTCCAGCAACTATTCTTCTGGGGCTTTCAGTACGTGAAAACATAAAAAAAATATAGCAAGCATATCTTCTTTTATTACTAAGAGACCGATATGGCTGAATGGTTAAGATGTTCGACAGATATCTACAAGATAGTGTGTTCGAATCTCAGCGCCATCAGACATAGAATAACCTTGGACAAGTTACTAACGACTGTTTGTCTCGGACCACCCATCCGATAGTACGCTGACTACGTGTGACATACACAAGCTCTTGCCACTAGTATGTGGTTAGTCAGTGTACATGGGGAGCTTAAGTGATTAAGCAAGAAGAACTCTGAGTCAGGCCGGCCTTCTGTCCAGAGCTGCAGCTAGTAATAGTTGTAGGGAAAACATCGGGCTTTCGAAACTGTTCTTGAACCGCACCCTGTACTGAAAGGTACTCGAAAGGCAAGCGTATTCTTCTTCTTCTTCTTCTTTTATTACTAATGTTCTTTTTTCATGCATTATATCATTATATTGGAGAAGATGGCGCTATTGAAATACTGGTTGTTGATGACGAAGAAAAGGCAGAAGATGTGCGGCGAGACCTAATTGCATTTGCTTCTTCGGCCTTGAGCTGCTTCATTTCCTGTTTTAGACGATATATAGATATTTCGGATATATTGAGCATAGCCTGCAGTCTTTCATTTACATTGTACATTGGAATTGTAGAACCGTTCTTGTCCTTTTCAACAAAATCAATGATACAAAATGCTAATTGTTTGAATTCCTTCGAGAACTCTTGCCCACGAGGCATATTTGGAGAATTAAGTCTTGCTTAGATATAATCTAAAATTAAATGATATTCACTCAGTATAAATCGAGATTACTTTTTATCGCTATCCTCAAAAGGATTTCGACCTGCCAAAAGAATGTTGACAGTTCACGAAATCACAATCGAATCGCTTGTTTTTATGTAAATATCCACCATAAAGCTTTCTTCATGTTTTCAAAGTTATATTGGAGATATAATGCATGAAAAAAGAACGTTAGTAATAAAAGAAGATATACTTGCTATATTTTTTTCATGTTTTCAAGTACTGAAAGCCCCAGAAGAATAGTTGCTAGAGAGAAATAGATATTGCCACATGATTTGGAATAGTCGAAAACATATAGTTCATGAATTTTGGTAATCACTAGCTTCGTAGAAGCCGAAATCCAGGTGCTTCGAAAAAACCACCTGTAGGTGGAAGAGGCTACAGAGAACCTAATATCATCTAATATAGAGCTGTGAGCTTGTCCGCAGGTAACGCACTCACGTTTTTTCCACTTCCAGTTCACTTTTCTAAGAAACTGTGAGGAATAGGGGATTAAAATTTAAAGTATATACGTAGGTTACAAGCCTCTCTAACTTCTGTAAGTTTCATGGAAATTCATTGTGTGATTCAGTTTTTATATAAAAAATACATAGCGGTAACGCACTCACAAAAAAGACCCTCCGTGATCAGGTGACGTTGGAAGTTCTTAGATTCCTGCGAATATTGAAAATGTAAATAGACTAACCGTAATGTAGTTTATAGAGGACAGTTAGAGCTATCTGTATTAGAAAAAAAAGTTTCAAAATTCTTTGTGCTACTGTGAAATTACTGTACAAATATCATGGTAACGCACTCACAATTCTTTGAAAAACGTTTTTCTCCAACATTTTTATCTTCTCTGTAGATTGAAAAAGAATGAGAAAAGCTTGTTTTATATTTAATTCATAAAATCGATAATGTTTACAATAAAAATTAAAAAATCTACGCAAATATCAGACAGTCTATCAATAATTTGTTTCAAGATAAAATATTTAAAAAAAACTGCCCATTTATCACTAGAATAGTCATATAATCGACATTCAATAATATCCTTCTGTAAAACGACAACACTGTGTAACTTTTGAATATTTTTAACAGATACCGTATTAGAAAAAAATGATCGTAATTGAGCTGTTGATTTATCAATATCTTGTTGTGTTATCTCTTCAACAATAATGACTTTGGTTTTGCTCTTTGCTATATTAACGAAATCAGTAGCATTGCTGCATTTTGCTTTACTCGCCAATAGGTGCTGCCAAACAAGTCTTTTGACAGTCCCGCCTATGGCATCAACCACGCCCTTACCATGGCTGGTGGCATAAAAGTGCCATGAAAGCATCAACTTGTACTCGTCGGATATTCGTATTATGTTTCTTAACAAATAACGTTGCTTGAATTGGCTTGCTGCACCATCACTAAAAAAAAAATCTCTCCTAATGATGCCAAGTGTTGTTTCAGTTTATTGATAATATAAATAATACAATTGGAAATGCAATATTTATCATGAGTTAGATTATTTGATATTAAGGAAAATGAATAATTGTTTTCTCCACACCAAGCATGGGCTGTAAATAAAGATACCGATTTGGTATTCCAATGAGCAGCTTGAATTTGATCTTGATCTTTAATATCGAAATTCTCACTATAGTCAACTTGAACAACGATTTTGTTACTATTCGAATTTGATTTGGATTCTTCAAAAGATTTATTTTGTTGACGTTTAATGTACACATGTAATAAGAATGGCCTCACTTTGGAAGCTAATAATTCCACACACTGTTCAACTGAACCTTGTTCTTCTTCTTTGGCTGCATAGCGGTTAATATTTTTCCATTGATACCATTTAACTGTAATATTTCGATCGATAATATTATTTTTGATATTTGTATCAAATTTATTTTCACAGAGTAAACAACTCGATGCCATACAGTTATAATTAGACTCATCACAAACAAGAGCCGATGTAAATGAATGTAAATCTGAACATATTGACCCATGTACATGCTTCTGCAAAGTATTTAAAAGTAAATTGACATTTTCATGGTGCATACACACGCATACACGGTGTGCCATGCATGATTTAATCACAACATGTTCAGGACGCATTTCAGCAAAAATAGTTCGAGCAATGGAAATACCTTAAGGACAATAAAAAGATTACAAATTTCTACAAAAGAAGCATTACCAGGATTTTCAACAAGAAAAATTTCATATGCTTCACGAATTGTATAAAGAAGAATTCGTTTTTGATATGTTGTTCTACTATAATTGTTTTTGACAACAATTGTATCTCGTTGTCCAGGCATCTGATAAGAAATGTCATCTCGGCAATAAAATAAAACAACCGTATCCTTAATTTTGGTTGATAATTTTCTTGAAACACGTTGATGACTGTCTTTTGGTAAAATACCAACAGATTGAGCCAGCGCCTGGCTCACTATTTTTTTCTTGTTTAAGTCTTTCGGAAGGACTCTTTTCACTTTCTTGACTGCCTTACCGAAAGATTGTCTTGATGAGAAAAATATTCTAGAGATTAGGCAGATTTTTATGATGTATGATAAAATAGTATATTACATACTTAGATTCTTTTTCTTTATTACGATATGCTTTTTGAGACTGTGCATGCTTTTTGTCGTACGCTTCCTTCATATTACCCGTCAAATTTTGACGTAATTTTCTCATTCGTGCAGCATTTTTTTGTTTCATCACTTGGTGTAAGCCTCTGGCTTTCAAATTTTCACGATATCCTTTTTGTTTTTCTGCATTTGCCATAGCCATTTTATTATAATTACTACAGAAATGTCTAAAATCTTTTAATTTTAATAGAAAATAATTTAGTTTTCAAGAAAATTTGAAAAACATCAAATATTGATCCGATGCTCGCGTGAGTGCGTTACTATTTTTTTCTTTAACAAATATAGATAAGTTGTAACTAATAATACCCCTATATAGCTTATAAATTGCTAGCGAAAAACTATAAGTTAAAACTACAACACTCGAGCAGTTATTGCAAAAAGTTGACTTTAGATTCCACTTCGCAACGCACTCGCTCAAGAATTTACCACATTTTTATATGTTCGCTATTTTTTCACAATGAACATGTAAGAACTGTTCTACATATCAGAGAAAAGCCCAAACTTTGACGATTTGAAGCATATGTCAATTGTCAATATAGACTTTTCCTTTCAACATTTGTTTTTCCTCTGTTTTGTAACGGTGTAATGGTGACAAAAGAATACAGAGAAGATGTCGCCAGCATATGATGCATAATTTTTAGTTTTTTAAAATCAATATGAGTGTTTAGAATACATATTCTGTAATAAGAAATTGTACTCTACAAAATAGGATACTTCGTGTTTAAAACATTTCAGCTTCTACTTTCGTCATACAGGTTGACCGTTAGCCGGACAAGCTCTTGTAGAGCACTCATATGGCTACTAATCTATCAAAAAAATTCGCCGATTCTTATCTGAAAATCTTGCTGAAAAACCGAAGTTTTCCAGAAAACCTGCAGAAAACCTAAGACAGCTGGGTGTTCAAAAACTCATAATGTTTGTGAAAATGTAGCCTAGACTATCTGTTATCGAATGCCGAAAACCGCAGGTCAATATCTTTTATGGTTCTCGAGTTATTTATAAAATGTTCGCCGGTCTTATATTTTGGCGCCTATTTTTGCTATCAACGAAATACACTGAGGTCTGTTTACATCAATCACTTCAACATACGTATTTGAACAATTTATTATTACTTTTTCTCACTATTGATCTGCTGTGTCTTGATTGCCCCCATAGTTACATATACAAGTCCAAATCTAGCTTATATTGTTGCTTATAATGAAGCCCGCACGCAAAATACATAGATATATAAAAGAATGCAATAGCAGCATCCGACAAAATTTGAATATATTTGTATCCTTAGATAATTGACTGAGTGATTATGAAGGTGGTAATGATCTTTGCTAAATAATCTTAATCTCAATACTACGTATCAGCTATTACAAGCGATGAGATGAAGACATTGATTGGTAAAATGCATTAATTTCATAAGGTTAAAATCGATGTGGCGCTTTAGCAGACATCATAAAAATCTATTACTATTGTATTAAAAACTGGTCTATTTTTGTCAGGTCCAGAATCATGCCACTTAATTTTTGTTTTGTTTTGTGTCAAAAAAAGAAGCGAATAGTTGGAAAAAAGTATTAATCTAAGTGTAAAGACTGCGATGATGATGTTACAAGAGTAGCCATAGTTCAATCATACGTATGTAAGACTCAATCATGAAGAAGGCTACACATGTCATGCAGCAGGTTTGTGTGGTTTCTGAATATTTCCTATATTGATGTAAATGTCGAATAAAAAAACCCAATTTGAGTATAACTTCAACATCCATTAGACGAAGACCATGATTGAGCATGGAATAAATAAAATAGGGACCTGTATACCACCAAATGGATGTATGGTTTCGATATTCTTTTTCGAGTTTTTCAAGTGTGAGTTCAGAAGCCGCTTTTTGAATTCGACAATAATCAGCCAGTTCTTTAATAGACTTTGTGTCATGATCGTCGATTTCTAAAAGTGCTTCTTTTAATAATTGCGTATACATAAATAAAGGATCAATTCCACGAAAACTGATCGATATCATAGATCGATCACAATGTTTACAATCGGTTTGTAATGTTTCACCGATCTGTTCAATTTGCGTGTAAACACCTTTTACCTTCGATATTGTTTTTGCCCATGGTTCATGAATCGATTGATTGTCACAGAAAACATATATGGATTTTAATTGTGGACATGCTTGAATTTCTGGTATTAAATATTGTCCCAATGTACCGGATACAATCATAAATATTTTTTCATCTTGAATATCACTAAGAAAATCAACACATTGGTCGACATCTGTAAATGTTGTAACCGTTACTGCGTTTTCTCGTAAATGTTCTATTAATTTCTTATAATCCTCTTTGGATTCATCCAAATTGGCATCAAGCCAGATCACCAGAAAATTTTCTAGAGCTCGACGAGCATCACCTGCTTGTGCGGTAGTATTGGTGGCAGTGTTGACTGCTGGTTCGCTGAAAGCAGTTGTTGTTAGTTGTTTTTTGCCCATAATGTATGATTCGTTTGATAGATGGATAGATGAATGAATGTAACGAACACGATTTTCGTCCCCCTGTGTATATATATTGTCGTGTCTTCCTTTTAAAAAAAACACTATCTATGATCGATCGTTACATGAGTCAGTGTATTTTGTTTACCGCTTTGATGACTACTGATCATTCAAGCGTTTCAGAAATATTGACGAAGAAACGATGACGAATATTGTAGGTATCCATGAAGGAATGAAAAGAAAAAGTAACAATCACAATGAATGCATGCTATTGATTGGTAAGTTTGTTTTCCAACTTATCATTAGGTGCATGTGTGTGTGTGTGTATCTATTAAGATATTAAAGGAGAAAGAAGGCAAGGCTACTGTTACGGGCTAACCCTCATATGTTATAATCTTATCTCTTTCTTTCATCTCATCTAGTCACGCGCCACATCTATCGGTGTTGTCTTCTCGAAGGAGGAGAGGTGTGTGCGTTATGTTGTTGGTTTTCTCTCTTTGTTTATTGTTAAATGATGAGTTATCGTTTTTCTCAATAAAGAGAAGGGTGAAAGTACCACCCCTAATATTTGGTGCCGTGACCGATAATTTTATTATTATTCACTAATAATAAAATACGAACCAACACAAAACAAGAAATTTATATTCCACCAGAATTAAGAAAAAAAGCTGTTAGCGCAATCCCTTTGGGATTAAAAGTGTGAAACACGATATATCTGCTTTATTTAATAATTTTAGCGTATATTTATTCTTGTTTATTCTACTCTAATATTGAGTTGTATAATATTAGTTTGTTGATGACAGAATATACAGCAATTTTTTTATGAATTTGTTTGAGAGGGTTTGACTCAAATAATAATGTTTAATGTTGAAATAGTAGTTAGATTATAATGATCGTAATATTTCAGTTTAGTGAAAGATTACTTAATAGTAATTCAAACTAATGAATTCAAGCTACGTCAATTCAAGTATGCTCTCAGTGTTTTTGGAATGATGTGTATAGATGTATATAAATGAGTTAGTTTATATATTTTTGTAAAGATCACAATATCAAAGTCAATAGAATTATTCATATATCCTTTTTTTTGGATACACCTATATAGATGTATATCATAAAAGCGTTCAATCATAATGACTTTTATACTTTATCAGAGGGTGACTTTTTTGATCAAGATTGTTTAAATTTCGTTTTATATAATAGTAAAATGGGTCGTCAAATAAACTATATATGCCCAATTATTTTATTTGTATATTAGTTCAAGTACGTTTCTAGAAAAAAAGCACAATTTGATTATTTATGCGAATATAAAAAAAAGATTTTATTTATTTGTTATCGATATTATTTAATACTATGTTATTTATCTGCATATTTCTTGTATTGTAATGAACAAAAACAGTTATAGAAGAGAGTGTTAATAGAACGTCTTCGTGATCAACTAAATCGTTGTTACAGAGATCTTGACGGCCACATCTTTCTAGTAATTCGCAAAGTTTAGATATATCGACTGTAAATTCTAATGTGATTTGATTAGTATCGAGAATACTAAGAGTAAGTTTTTCTGAAGTTGTTGACTTTGTTAGGTATACTGATCTTGAATTGCACGTCGTACATTTGATTGTTTTTCCATTGCATTCCACATCAGTTGAATAACATTTTGGACATTTACAAGTTTCTTGTACTCGACCTATTGATGTTATTGTACCAATTACAACTGATTCTGTTGATATTTGTGGTGTTGTGGAAATATTGATGATATGGATGTCTTCTATTGTTTCGAAACTAGTGATAAAACTAGATGGTATTTTGAGTTGCACTCAAATACGGAATGCTATGCGAAGCGAATTTCTTAATATTATGCTCTTTAAATCCACTCGATTTTAGAAGACATCGATAAGTTCGAAACTATAGAACCTCCTTTGTAGCTCGAGAATAAACAGTTAATTAGACATCTACACTCATATATGCATACATACTGATTGGTATAAATCTACGAACACTGTAACTAATCTCGATCAATGAATAACTTTTCTGAACTGTGATGACGCCATTTTAATTATCTCGACGCTTCAATAGCGTATACATTGTTTTTTTTCTGCATTGAAAAATTTTTGGAACCCGATTTTCCAGAAAACCAAAGATCCGATTTTTAATCTGAAAAAAGATTTTAAATCTGCACTATAAGTACTCCATTTAAGGGTTTTTGAACGAAATTTCTCTGATTATCCGTTATTGAGATCATCGAGGCGTCAGTCGAGAAAGTGATAATAAGAAAAAATAACATAAAGGAAGTAAACTCGCGTACGAAAACAGTAATGCTTATGCTTCGCATAGCATTAATTATTAAATGATCTTTGATCATATATATATATTGGTGTAATATAAATCTCAATAGTATTTTGTTATATATAATAGTTAAAGAATGATACTTACGTAGTATGTGCTGTTGTTGTTAATGTAATTTCATTATTGAACATTTTCGCTTTGGCTAGTTTTATTTTGTAGCATACATCTTTTTTAATTATATCAAAATGATTTTCCCATATATTCATAATTATAGAATTGGTATTATCTGCAATAACTGTAGTTCTTTTTAATTTTTGAATGCGCTTTGACCCATTGTTGAGTAGTACGGACTCGTCCTAAATTACTGATTAAAAAACATTCAAAATTTTAAGATAGTTCTTACAGAACCAATTTCAACAACTTTACAAATAAATGATACGTATTCTCCATCAGACATACACTCTATATTTTTTATTGTGGTTATTTGAGTGCATAATGGTGTCAATGCTAGAATTTTTTCTACAGCCACTGTTTCACTAGTTGCTACGTACGTATTGTCATCATTGAATTTTAATTTATTGAGTTTAATACCGCGTTGATTATTTAAATGATCTAACATTTTTGTATGTATAAAACAATTTGATTTTAATGATACGTATTTTGTTATTCGATTGACATTTTGATTTACGTCACATATTAACGCTGTCCAATATTTTCCTTTTTTTATCATTTTGATTATCGGAAATGCTGGTTACTGCAATGACAATTCCTTCTAATATTGTATTTGTTTTTTGTTTAATTGAGTTTGTATTTTCAGTTGTATTGGTTGCACGTTTCATTAGAAAATTTATTAAACAAAAAATAATGATAAGTAAAAGTTAAGTAGAATGAAAGTTAAAGAATGAACACAATAGCGCAAAATTTCATTTGGTTTTTATGCAATACTAGCTTTTTGATAAATGAAAATTTTCATTTACTTTTTTAAACAGTTGAATTAGGTTTTTCTTTCACGATTTTTATTTTCAGTTAAAAAAGAATGGTTGCGTTTCACGTGATTGTTCTGCAAATTGATATATTAGTGAGCGGGATAAAAAAAAGATCTCTTAAGTAAATCCCAGATCAAACATGTCCGACAGGATCCTGTAGGAACCATGGTTAATCCGATGAAATCCGACAATCGGATCCTATCGGGTATCGATAGCCGGAATCCGACATCATTCTTTGATTTCCGCTACTTTCTGACAGTAGGATTCCGACAGCAGAATCCGCCTTATTCCGACGGTAGGAACCCGTCGGATTTGGCAAGAACCGATAACTTTATTGAACAATATTTCTAAGAAATAATATTCTAAAAAGTTCAAAGTTTACTATTGATTCAACATCTTCGATTGCTTGTCCTTCAAGATCGAAATAAACATTCAAAAATAAAAAAAAATTAATTATTCATTTAAATAACAACATCGACTCAGCTCATATTAATTTACGAGAATAATATTTTTGCAATTTGTTTACTAATTGAATATCACATTAGATTTAATATACACAATAAAATCAAAATTGATCTAAACCTGTCAATGCGTACAAGCATTAAATAGATCCTATGGCATTTGATGGTGCGATATCTGTCGATACGCTATTTTATTAGTGAAGCAAGAGAACAATGTTTACAATGAAGATAACATGAACGTGTATTATACAATTGAATAGGGGTTTGCTTGGGAGATACGTGCGTACTTATAAATAAATTTCGTATACGATTGAGCTGTGGTATGCCCGGACATACTTTACAAACGAATATTTTAATTATTCAATTGGGTTGTATGTATGATTTTTT